TATGTCTTCGAACTATGTATCTGTCATCCCCAGACTCCTGCTCTCGTGAACTCTGCCGGCCTGCGCTCGCCTCTCGCTATGCTCATACAGATCCAAGCTATGTTGCGAGCTGCGTTGACGTCTCTATTCCACACTATGCGACACAGCGGGTTCGTACACGCTCGCACGTTGTGGCACGTCTTGTAGCTCGTCCTCCCTCGTCCGTCCTCGTCCTCTCGACCCCCTCCCTCGGTCACCGTCTGGATCCCATCCTCCGTCACCCGCTGCCTCTTGAGCACGGCGAACTTGCCTACGTCCGAGTGGCACGTGCTGCACACCTGGCTCGTCCTGAACTCATCTATCATGACCACCGTCGCCTTGTGGTGGCTGCTGAGTCGCCTCTTCACCGACTCGCATGGACCACACTGCCTCTTGGTCCTGCCCGCACCCACCTGTGCTGCACCAAGAGCCACCACGGTCTTTTTCCCTGCCGTGATTTTCTTGCAGGCTCTGTCCACCTCGATCTGCTTCTTGATCGTCACTCGCCTTCTAAGCTTTCGGACCCTCCTCGCGGTGTGAAAGCGTACCAGGACGTACAAGTTCGCACAGATGAAGGACACCCTCTTCCCGAAGTCCTCCAGGCTCAAGGTGTTCCCCGAAGGAGCATTCTCGTTGAAGGCTGCCACATCCAGGTCTCTGGACATCCAGGTGTGCATGAGGAACGTCCGATTCTTGAATCCCGCTCGGTGGTAGAAGTCCCTGGTCCCCAGGCTGATGATCTCTTCCTGGCGCTCGATTCCGTCCCAATCGCCGGTCACGGCGATGCCGGTGAGGAAGTCGGGATGCTTTCCTGGGTCCAATCCCACCACGCGCTGCTTGGGGTGTATATGCACCGCTCGGTCCTCCGGAGGGGGCGTCCTCTTCTCCACCAAGAAGTACATGCTTGCGGACACTCCGTCCGTGGTGATCCGATCCGCGAAGGTCTTCCCACCGCTCTCCAGCCGTCCGATGGACGGAAAAGCATCGCGGAGCTCTCCCGGAGCCTTTCTCTTGCCGCTCTTGGGCTGCAGCTCGAGCCATGTGGTAGGAGTGATCGCGATGAAAGGTGCAGAGAAGGAGGCATGAGGCACGAGGGAGAATGACCGCAGCTCTCGGTCCGAGAACTCCTCGCTGATGATCCTCATCCAGGGCACGTAGAGGTGAGGTCTGCTCTGGGGCGCCGCAGGCAGCGGCCCGACCTCAGGCCTGATGGAGTCGACCAGACCCTGCAGGCACTCGATGGCAGCCTCTGAGATCCTCCCACGAATACGGGGGTACTCCGGCAGCAGCTCTCGGACGCTCTCGTTCGGGCGCCACAACGTGGCGGTCGTCAGCAGCCGGGTGCACGACTCCACATCCTCGTCCGCGTCCCCGAAGAATGGCACATCTGGAGAAGCCTCTAGCAGGAGTAGCTTCACGAAGGCCCTGTGTCGTGACTGGAAGAGGACAGAGACGTGATTCTTGATGTTACAGAGGAGTTGGTTGCGGAGCTCCAGGAGGATGTTGGCGATGCGAGGGAGACAGCTGTTGTTCGGACGGTTGGGGCAGAGGGGGAGGTAGTGGTGGACGAATGTTTCGTGGAGGTCTGGGTCTGCTTGCGGCTTCTTAGAGTACGTACACTGCATCGCGCGTCCGACCAGGTTCTGGTCGATGACGGGTATGGGCCGTCCCTCATCCAGGAGGCGGATGAAGTGGAGGTTGAGAAAGAGGCATGTCTCGACTCGGATGCGGGTCACCTCCGGAATGATCTCCTCGATCCGATCTCTTATGCCGCGTTCCTGGCAGAGGAACTTCCATCCCGTCTGGACCACGGATGTCTCCTTGTCCTTCCTCAGCGTTCTCCGGAGGGTAATATCTGGGCGCTTCCTCTTTGCCTCCTCGGAGTCATCTGCCTCTTCGTCCATCTGGGAATGTCGTGAGAAATAACGTTTTCTGGTATATATACTCCGAGCGAGATCTCTCTCGGACGGTCGTCCGAATGGGAGATGCTTCTGGGCTGTCTCTCTTCGGACGCCTGTCGTTTCGACGTGGCGATCTAGAAGCTTCTGGAGCTGGGGTTTCGGACGCTGGCGTCCGAGACGCTTCCATGATACTCTTGAGAATCAGTTTTTCCAGAAAACCAGGTGTGCCACTTTATTCTGGACAGACTGTAGGCGTAGCATATGGAAAACGCTTCGACGGAATGGTCGAAAGTCTTGCAAGCAGCTAACAGCGGAGACGGTTTCGCAGTAGATCACTTGGTGGAAGGTAAGCTGAAGGGAATACTCCCTGCGTTCGTAGAGGAGGCTTTCGAAGAACAGTGTTTTCTCTTCTGGAGTAGGGACGGGGAGTACACCGAGGAGATCAGGGCGGCGTGCACCGCACATGACCCTCTGGAACCAGCGGTACAGAGAGACGTCGACGTCGTGGTCCTTGATGTGCGCTTCATAGACCCCTCCTCCGCTCACAGATTCTTGGGGATAGGGATGGAAGGAGAGTTTGCGGTGAGCGTTACTTATCACGCGAAGAGCGCAAAGTCCATACGAGTCCTCATATGGGAGGAGGACAGCAGGGAGGACGGCGAGCTGTACGTCAGGGTACGGGGTTGGGAGGCGAGCGGTTTCAAGCTCGTCAGAGAGTGGACGCCCAGGACCAGAGTCTCGTCGGCCCGAACGAGGATCTCGTTCGGCAAGCCGGAGAGCGAGAGGCCGAGCATCCTCTTCAAGGGGAGGTCCGTATGTTACACGATCAAGACCTCGGAGCAGATCCCGCAGAACAAGTCTGCCACCGGCGTCAAGAGGGGAAACGTGAACCTCACGTTAAGGGTCGGCCTGAGAGAGCCCGTCGTGGGCTCAGAAGACGACCTGGTCGTCATGCGGGTGCAAGCGGAATGTATAGTCGTACCAGAGGTCGGAAAGGGGGTCAAGAGCGTACGCGTTCGTTCCGTTTGTAAGATCGGGGGCTCGCAAGGATCATGCAGTCTCGTGGACGGCAACTCCGGTCACCAAGAAGAAGGTGCTACTGACTATTGCAATTGGAAGTACGGGGGAGACGTCTTCGACTGCGGCCGTACTCATCTGATAGACAGCGCGCGCCAGACGCATTCGCTGCTCAGACCGGACACCCTATGGATGCTATCCAGCAAGGGGCTTCAGGCCGTGACGGTCGCGACGGAGCACGAGATGGGCGAGAGCGAGGGCAAGGTCGGAATAAAGGCCAGGCTCTCGCGCCTCTTCTCCGACGAGAGCGGCAACAAGCTGGTGACCTGTAGCAGACACCTCAGGATCTCGGTGGTGAGCGACATGGCTTTCTTGAACGCTTTGGAAAAAGCATGCATGATGTGTCGGATACGGAAGCAGAACGGCAGCTGGAACAAGACTCACGAGCAGAACGTCCGCGCGAAGAGAGAGAAGCTGATAGCTTCGGCTAGGTTTTAAGGACCGGTGACGAACGGCTCTTCTGCAACCAAGGGTGTTCCAAGGCCTGCGACGCAGTGAGGCGCCCCTTGACATCTCTCGTGAGCAGATTCTGCAGAAAGTTCTTGGCGTCGTTAGTTATGGCCACCCCGTCGTAGTTTGGACTCTTCGACAGGACCGCCTCGAATACCTCCGACTCGGTCCTGCCGTAGAACGGTCGTGATCCGACCAGCAGGATGTAAGTCAAGACCCCGATGCTCCACTCGTCAGCTTTCAGATCGTACGCCTTCTTCAGTACCTCTGGAGCTACGAAGTAAGGACTGCCGACGATGTCGTCCAACACTTCTCGCTCTCCACATAATCCAGAGAGGCCGAAATCGATCGCTTTCAGGAGCGAGTCCTTTTCTTCGCTGGCGAACAAGAAGTTCTCGGGTTTGATATCCCTGTGGATCACTCCCATGCGATGCATGTATGCGACGGAGCTCAATATCTGCCAGACGATCGGAATTGCGCTCTCCTCCGAGCAACGTCCTCCGACGTCGAGTATGCGGTCGGCCAAGTCACCACCATGACATAGTTCCATGACTATGTACACGTTCATGACATCCTCATAAGCCTCTATAAAGTCGACCACGTTATCATGGCGTTGCAACATGCGTAAGATGGTCACCTCGCGGACTACATCGTCCACTTCTACCTGACTTGTCATCCTGCGTTTCGGAATGACTTTCACCGCCACTCGCTTTCCTCCAGCAATCTTTTTGGCGATAGCGACGTGCGTCCTTCCGAAACTTCCACTCCCAATCTCGAGTCCAAGCTCATAATCGTCGTAGAATCTCCTCTTGAAAGAAAACACCTTGTTGTCTATAGTTGGCCTGTGTGGGCTAGGCTGTTCGACAGGCCCCCGTTCCGTGGATCTATCCGGTGTATTCAGACATTGTCCCATCTCTCTGACATAAAGAACAATATTTTGTTCAGTGGAATTGCATGACGAATCTCACGTTCTGCATGAGGGCAGCCTTGTGTTGAACTACCGTCCTCTTGCCCTCTCCCCCGTCCTTTGCTTTTTTCTTCACGTCCGAATCGGGCCATCTCTCCGTCTCCTCGTTCTTGACTCTCGTGGATTCGATCATGTCCTTCTCGATGGCTTGTTTGCTGAATTTCGCATACTCCAAGACTCCGTAATCTATCGCAAACTTGAAAAAGTTCAGCTGGCAGACGGTGGTGACCAGGCTGTGGATCACGCTGTCCTTTGGGTATTCGTGACGCTTGGCCTCCTCCGGGAAGATCAGCTTGATCTCCATCCCTTCTTCGCCTCCGATGGTCGTGGTCGGTGCTTTCGGGTTGTTGCGGACGTCGATGATGGGAAAAACGATGCGTTCGCGTCTGTTGAACGGGTCGAACTGTCGCTTCGAATATGCCCTCAGCTGGTCTTTGTAGGCGAGAGAAAGGTTCACCGGTCTGCCATCGTGAATGTAGGAGACACCCTTCTTCTTGGCGTAGTTAGTGACTGCACACGAAGATATCACGCACACCGTTTTACAAAGTGCTGGTTTTCTGACCTCAAATAGGCGGGAGCGCTCGGTTATCTCATATCCCAGCGCTCTCAATCTCTCTATACAGTCTGGATTCAGAGACTCTCTTTTCACTACGGTGAAGCTGTAACAGCCACCTTTCGTAACCTCGTCGAACTGCCGTACGACCTGGTGGGCATCCATGATCCTGCTAGACCGGTCGTTCCCCGCGTCCCTAAGTAGACTGCTGATCTTATCCGAGAGCAAGAGGAAAAAACACACTCACTCAACCAATCGATGGTCCGGAGGCTCGGGTACCCGGACTTTTGTTGGAGTACATCCAGTAGTGTAGAGCAGTGTGTCGGGTCGTTGTAGTAGATCCGCAGCTTCTCCAGCAACAGGTGCTGTTTGTCCGACATGATTTCCGTAGGATGCTGACTCTAGAGAAGTTTTTGAGGGTGCTAGCTGTCATATTGGCAGATTGCCCTATATGAACACCACACTCCCGGAGTTGCGTCCGAGCGCGTCTTAGCCCGCGATAAATTTCTCTGTTAAAGTTATATGATAGCAGTCCGAACCTGACAGATGACTCACTCTAAGCGCACACATGCAGGGGCTACCGTGGATGCGAAGACCTTCGCTACCGGGAAGGACTCCACCTCAGCGGATGTCGTGGTCGATGACACCTCGTTCCCACAACTCCCCGTCTCCGAGGAGGTTCGTGGCAGCCCTAAAAAGCATGCCAAGAAGGATGAGAAGCACGCCGCCTCTCCCCGGACTCCCAAGAGAAAGGACGACACCACGATCCCGCACAAGCATCATAAGAAGGATGACGATTCGAAGCAGGAGACCGTCGTCGTCCCAGAGACCAACGAGGAGGAAGCGGTGGTGCAGGACACAGAGAAGGACGCTGTCACCCGACGGGCTCGACGGGAGGAAGCGACTGCGGAGGAGACCACGGAGGACGTGACCGCGGAAGACCTGGTCGCTGAGGAGGCCCGGAAGGACGAGACGACTGACGAAAAGGGCGAGCTGCTGGAGGTGCCTTCCACGTACACCGCCATGACCGTGGACCGCGCCGCCATCGAGAACAGCGGAGATCCGGCGGAGCCCGGTGCCATCGCCAATCAGGTGGACGGCGTCCCCAACGTGCAAGCCGTGGCTTACGACCAGCAAGACGGCATCACAAAGGCCACCAACGTCACCCTGCCGCCCGGTTCTCTGCCGGACATCGTCCCGGGTGTGCCCAACGTGCCCCTCACCTCTCTGCTTGGGACCAACACCACCCAGGATCTGGGGGCCATCCCCCTGCCGGATATCATCCCCGGCGTGCCCAACGTTCCCGCTATTGTGGTGACCAATCCGGACGCGGAGCCCGATAAGCAGGATACTCGAGGAACCAACGTGGCTGCTACCGCGCAGATCCAGCCCAGCGACGTAGAACTCAAACAGATGCCTCGTTTCGCACAGCAGTAAGACATCCCGCTCCGACATCCCTAATCCGATAATCCCGCTCGATCGCGGCTACCTCTGGTAGCTGCTTTGGAACGCCTTCATCTCTCGTACAGTTTCTCGAGCATCCGTCTGTAATGGTCGGGGTCGCGTCGCGGCGGCTTGACCACGTCCTGGCCCGTCGGAAAGATGATCTTCAAGGGCAGGTTGAATGAATGGCAATGCGATTCGAGTTTGCCCAGTTGGATCTCCTGGAGCTGCGAGTCCGGATCGAATTGAAAAAGGAACTCATCTGCGTACGCCTTGTCCGAGAACACCATGGCCATAGGTGGTTCCATGGAAAAATGAGGTGACAACGGTGCCCGTAAGATGTTTTCGTTTCGTCTGAGGACGTAGACATTGTCGGTCCTCTTCAGCAGCGGGAGGCGAGCGCAAGCCCTCACGGGAGGGTGGGCGAAGGCGAGTGCATGCGATCCCATAATATACTATAGGCAAGAAAAGAGGTACGATTCGCGATTCTTTTTCCTCTGAACTCATCGTAGCGAGGGGCCGAGATGAACGGTCCGCAAGACATAGGCGGCCTGGTGGACCGTCTGAGACGGTACGTCACCAAGTATGCAGAGACGGATAAAGTGTTTATCAGTGGCCTCAAGGACACTCTGAATGACCTCGACGGTACCACCATTCGCTGGAGGGATGCGTTCAGGGATTGTCAAGCGGTGTGTCGCAAGCTATCGGAATTGCTAGAGAGTTGGGAAGTGCCCTTGGACATGCTGTCCATAGGTCTAGATCAATTTCGTAACGGCCAAGAGAACTCGGCTATGCGAGTCTTTAACAGGATTCCCGTCTTCATGTCCGGCCTCTCCAATCTGGAGGAGGATCTCTCGGAACTATCCAGGATCGAGGTGAATGCGAACGCGCTGAAAAAGGCGGTGAACGGACTCGTCAAGAAGTTGGTGATCAGGATGGTGAAACTACAAGCGCGCTCGGAGAGCCACGCGTGCTTCTGTTGCAAGAGGGTTCCTCAGAAGACGATAGATGAGATATTAGATGTACTCGTCGACGTGAGCGCTTGCTACAGCTGGCAGTGTAGGAACATCGACAGGTGCATCTCCCGGCTCTGTATAGCGTACGAGTGCACTACTTCCGTCGCCGACGTCTTTAGAAACTGCGGGTTCAAGGAGGGACGGAGCCTGGATCACATAAGCGAGAACATCATACGGAGCGAAATCATCACGCAACTCCGGACGACCAGGCTAGCGGTACATCGGGTCATGCAGACCATGACGGACGTGTGCGAGAAACTCGTGGAGAAGTGAGGCAAAATTCTTTATGAGTTAGTAGGTATGCGAGATGGACTTTCAGAGGACCCCGGTCGAGCGATTCTGCCCCGTCGTCCCTCTCTACAAGGTCGACTCGTTCCCCGTGGGGGTGGCGACGCAGAGCCCGCTCGTGACGAACGCTCAGCAATACACGAGGCTTCCTCTCGACAAGGAGAAACTCTTCGTGTACAGAGAACCCACTTTTCAAGAAGAGAACGTGTTTCAATCGCTAAAGCAGCGACCCATGGAGTTGCATTATGAGTTCTTTGGCAACACGAACGTGGTCCGGTTGCATGCAGAACTGACGAAGCGTGTAAGAGAACAGACGGGTTACACCATAGACCGGCAATCAGACGAGACGTTGAGCATCATCATGCGTTACATATTCGAAGAGAACGCTCTGCATCAGCCGCACGATATACCAGGCCAGGTAGCCGCTCTGAACGAGTTGGTCCTCGCCACCATAGTGCCCATGGCCGTCACTCGCATCAAGATGCATCTCGCATACCTGAAAGACATCACCACTCTTCCGGAACCATTAGCCCGAGCGGTCAACACCAGCACCATCGGCACGGCCGGTCTGGAGATGAAGCGATACATCTGAGTCTAGTGGTCAAAGATCGATATCTACTCTCTCCAAGTTACTCAGAACTTTGTCGAGTCTCTTGCGTAGCTTTCTCATTCGGGCTACATCTACCTGATCCATGATCCGAATGAAACGCTCTACGAGTCTTCTGATCCTCGCCACGTCTTCGACAGAGAAGTTTGGAGAACGCGTCAGAGGCGGCACCAGAGGGTCGGCACAATCACAAAAGTACAGGCTCTTCAGGCGAACTTCCGATCCATCTACCCAGCACTCGCTGCTCAGGTCTGTTGGCAGATCCTCGAACATCTCTTCGTCCAAGAGCCACCCCAACGAGCTCAATGAGGCTTCGAAATGAAAGAGATTCAAATACACGGCACGATGTGCACTATCTTTCGTCTTCTTGGTTCCCTTGTCCCTCGGGAACGAGTTCAGGATGGTGGCGAGCTCCTTCGTCGCCGCGGCGAACTCCTTCGCCTGCGTCATATGATGTCGGATCTTCTCGGCTTCCTGGGGAGTGGTTTCCTTGCGTGAGTACTTCATCGTCGTAGGTGGACTGAATGCTCGTTTCGCAAAGTCGATGCAGCGAGCTTTGGATGAAATGCTCGCCTTATGTACAACTACCTTTCGGACGCCGAAGAGTCGAAAAATGGCGTCCGATTCGGGCGCTCTTTAGGTCCTCTCACCATTTCGGGCGCCGATAGGACCTGAAGAGCGATCGTTTGATTTTCGGTCTGGCTTTTCGGACGCCGGTCTCACAGTTACATAAGCAGCCCTTCTCGAACACTTCCTTCACACATCTCGCAGACATGGCGAAGCGAGGGCCGAGAAAGATCCACTTCCAGCACTTTCCCACCGACGTGCAAGCTCTGGTGCTCAGCAAGCTGGAGCGCCCAGATGACCTCGCGAACGCGCTGTACGCTCTGGCTCACCCGGGCAAGGTCGGCAGGGACGTGACTCAGCGAGAGGCACACACGTTCGTCGAGCGCTTCGTCTCCTCGGACGCGCCCAATCCATGGCGCCCCGTGCTGCGAGCTTCCCTGGACGCCACGGGAACGGCGGCCTTTACCAGGCTCCGGAAGCGAATGGGAGGCATGGTAGGAGAGGCAGGTTTTGCGGTCACCCGTGGTCAACTGGGCCCGATTCGGACGGCGATCGAGAGGCGGGGCGACGAGCTCGAGGTACGGGACTCGGCCAAGAATGCCAGGCTGGACTCGGAACTGCTGCTCTTCAACCGCATCGGCTCCCTCCGCCAGGGCTGGGAAGATTGGTCCCGCAACGCCGTGGATCCGCAGTACGTGGATGTCGGGGAGATCTTCGTTGCGACCGGACGTGGGCGCTGCGTGGGCGTCGCAAACGCGGCACGTAAGGCTCCGCAGGAGAAGGCCTTGTGCAGGCCGCTTAATCTGCCCCAACAGCTGGCCGTGAACGCGTGCGAGGGGATGGTGCAGATCATGAGCTCCCTCAGGATCAAGCTGGTCATAGACATCACCATGTCGGAGGCCGTCTACGAGGGCATGTTCCACTTCCCGCACTCCCGAGAGATCGTCAAAGAGGGAGAGAGGACGGTGGCGCGCTTCGTGGTCTGCATGATATTCGACCACAGGCGCTGTAACCCTTGCGCGGCGGCGCACGAGAAGCTGGAGTACGAGCTGCAGAGCGACGGGACCCTCCTGTACAACGTCTGGGGAGTGCACCACGCCGACGTCGACATCCTCTCGTGGAGAGGCACGGACCCAAATACGGGTGCCCTCTTCGACACTGCGCGGTCGCGCGAACTGTTTGCAAAGGGACTCGAGAAGCTGATCACCAACATCCGACACCCAGACCTCGGGCAACACAAGCTGGAGGTCTGGGGCTGTCGCACCATGGTGCAGATCGAGACGAAGGAGCTCGGGTGCCCCATCTTGCAGGATCGCATCTCTTCCATACAGGAGGTGGAGGAAGATTTCCTATCCGATGACGAGGGCGACAGCCTCTACGTCAAGCTGGACTGGGGGCGTCTCTTCCGCATCCTGATCATCCAGCAGACCCTGGGCCCGAGCACGCTGAGCTTCGGGTTCCTCAGGGAGCCGTGCGGCCTCGACACGGAATGGTGCCACTGGATGCACGGCTGTTCTAAGATACCCACCGCTAAGTTCGGGGCACGCATGCAGGAGCTGCTAGGCGGAGCGCGCGTAGGCAGGAAGAAGCGCAAGCGAGTAGCCTGAAACATTCTCTGAGACAGAACGTAGGATATGGCAGAAAGGAAAGCAATACTTGCTCATCGACAATAGGTCCAGAGACGTGACCCTGGATGTTCAAGAGTCTAAGAACGTGGGTGGCAACGCCGCACCATTTCAATATGCATTGTCTCTCAGTAGTCTGGGCGTCGGCCCTATCACGAACGTAAAGAGTCTGACGATCAAAGCCGTCACCATGGCCCGCCCTCAGACCGAGGATTGGGTCAGCCTGTACATAGAACCTTCCCTCTCCAGCAACGTGTATTGCACCGACGATGGGACCACCAATGCAACCATGATCATCGCATTCGAAAACTATTTCGCAGACAATTCAAGCGTATGCGTTAGAGCAGATAACTTATTCGGTGCCACTCAAGTATTCGTGCCACCTCTTCCCAAGTTGGATAGGTTGAACGTGACATTCAAGAAATTCGGGGGGTTACCCCTCACCGAAACCGACTTTCGGAGAGCGAATACAGACATCGTTCCTTTCTGGGACAGGCACACTATATTCATGGAGATAGTCACATCTTAGCTACACCCCTAGCTTCAACCAGTCCCTAGCCTTATTCAACTGTCTCTTCAAGTCGGCCACCTCCTGCTGGTGCTGTTGCATGAGCCACTTATAATGCTCCTTTGCGATCTGGTGATGCCCCACCGCAAGATGCTTCCTAGCCTCTGCCTCACTAGCGCACCTCTTGAGTGTCCCCAGCTCCCTTATCAGCCTCTCCGTCTCGCTATTCAGCTCCGAAGCTCTCCGTAGCTCGGCTCTCAGCTGCTCGTTCTCCTCCAAAGCTGCATCCCGCTCTTTCTCCACCCCTCTGAGCTGCTGCAGAAGCTCCTTCTTCTCTCTTTCCAGCAGAAATCTCCTCGCCAATTCTTCTGCCAGTGCTGCCATCAGCCCCTAATACCTTGCACTGTGGTTGATCAAATACCTTTCTTCCAGAGGCTTGTACTTTGCGACTGCTTCCCTGAGATTGATGTTGCTAATCAGCTGCCGAATGTGCAATTCACTGCGCGTGAAAGGGTCTATGGGCGTTGCTGCCAGCCATCTGATGATGTTCTTCCTGTCGAAGCTCTGACCGGAGATCGGACTGATCACCGGATCGTCCAACCATCCACCTGAAATCGGGCAACGAAATGGTTCGGGAATATCCTCTCGGGCGGCGATGTTGGCTTCCTGAATCTGAATGATTCTATCGTATGCCTTTCTTCCGAGCATGCCCCAATCAGCGAGTTCACCATCAAGTTTCATCGACTCCAACGCCTGCTGCAGTCGCTTCAAGACGCCTCTTTCGCTTACGTCATCTAGATCGGCAGCACGTACTTCAGCGACTGTCGTCAGTCCGGCCCTCTGGAAGAGTTCGAGCAGTCGGCCACGGCCCATTATCTTCAAGTCGACCAGGTCAGCACTTCTGGGCATGTTTTGTTGTACCATCTCTGACAAAAAGGTTTGAGTCGTTTACAACCGTCCGATACGAAAAGTGAAGGCACACAGGTACGAAAGGGCTACTTTCATCATAGTGTCATCTGCTGACCTGTATATGACGTCACTATCGTGCTAATCCCACGTGAATATCTAATCGGACGGCTGTCCATCCTGTCGCTGAGTTGTCAAACCCCCAGGCTTCTAGGGCAGTCCTTTCGTGGATATCAGGGCAGTCCTCCTGGAAGGTCTTCGGAAACCTATAAAAGCAAAGTTGGGGCTGGTGCTTTCATTCATTTTCAGGAAGTCCACATCCTGCCATCAGCAACCATTTTTCCGTCTGCCGAATACAAGCCCTCCAACAGAATCATGCCTGAAAAGGCCCCCATGACTGGTGACGCCGCATCCAGGATCCAGTCGGCCACCGCAAAGGCTGGTGATGGAGGGGTGTCAAAGGGTAGCTTTGCGGCAAGGGCTCAAAGTGCGGCTGCTACCAATGTCAACACCGGCGTGTCCCAGCCTTCTGGAAAGAAGTAGCTGCCGCGTAAGTATATCTTTGGGCATCTCTCTCAAGAATCTGCTTGTCAACTCATTTATGCATCCTGTCTATGATATGCACCGTCTGAACAGGAAGCCTGAGCTAACCATGTGATGCTCTCTATGTTCAGGACCTTTCGGTTCTTGAGTCCTGTGGGATAGTTTGGGTGGACATTGTGAAGCTCCAGTAGAGGCGGAATGCACCGCACCATCTCAAGAACTGTAGGGTCCTGAGGAAGCCTGAGCTAACGATGCGTTCCTTGTTTCTTCAGGACCTTACAGTTCTTGAGATAGTCCCACGGCATCGAGTACTCAGCAGGGTTGGTTGGAGATTGTAATGCTCAGTGGAGGCGGATTGTACTTGAGGTATGAGGGACATATGACGCTTTGATTGGCAAGTACCAGGATAGTCGCATGGCCCAGACATGTTCTTGCCAGCAGGGTACGTACAGTCTGTTCAGA